GAAGACTCCCCCTCATAGAAATAAAAATTTAATGATTTGATTACATTATTTAAAAATTCAATTTTCGTTTTAGTCAAATCAAATTTAAAATGTTCTTCGTAATCGAAATTTACATTTTTAAGTTGTTTTGTGGTATAATTCAAACAGTAATCTGGGGTGTATTCTTCATCTCCAATTGTTAAAGTAAGTTTCGTTTCTTCGATAATTTCATTTGTGTTTTTATTGGATTCAATTAAATCAATTAAATCCATTTTAAGTTGTTCAATTTCAACATACAAATAAAATAATGTTGGTATTTTTTCGGATGATAAAAAATCACTGGTATTTTTAATAGAATTCATTACATTTCCAACGAAACCAAGAATTTCAAAATCACTTTGTGAAAAAGTGTGATTTGCAATAAACAATTCTTTTTCTTTTTTGTTTTTTATTGATTTTGAACGTTCTATAAACAACCGGTTTATTTCTTCACCACTCGAAATTACACTTTCTATCATTCCGATCTTTGTAAACCATCTAATTTCTATATCAGTAATCAATCTTTTATACTCCTTGTGTTCTTCTTCAAAAATGTTCTTTAATGAAGAAAAAAGAGTTGAACTTTTTTTGATCTTTTTCACAACCCTTTTGGCTTTTTTGAGTACACTATTAATTGACAATGTATCTGTGGTTGATTTTTTAATTGCAAGATTTAATTTGTGGCACGAACAACCGATTGATTTTAGTCCTGCAGCTTCCACCACACTAACAATATTTATAGCATTATCACTGATAACAACAAAATCTCCAAATTTTTCCAATGACCAATTTTCAATGCAATTAAGAAGAAAGATGGAAATGTTTGTTGTTGTATGTACATGTAAAAATTCAGTAAGTTGTAGAACACGAGACGTTATTTCTCCATTTTTATAAAAGTGAATAGTGAAACTGTAAAAACTCAATTGAGTTTTTGAAGTCCAACCATCGACTGTAGCACATATTCCATCTTTAATTTCATGTATTTCGTCTTTGATTTCTTCTTTGTATTTTTTATAAATTTCTTCAATTCTTGTTGTAACACTTTGTCGACTGGGGACAACATATTCTTGATCAACCATTTTCATTATTAATTTGAATGGTTCCATTTCGACAATAGAAATGGGTATTCCTGGATAAACACACAAATGGGTTAAAAGTGAGTCCAAATTTTTATGTGTAATATTCCAGTCACGATATCCTCTATTATATAAACTTCTTTCGGATGTCTGTGTGTCCATATTAATATGATGATTGTGAATTAAATGATTTCGCATATTTGTAGTTACTAGTTTGTTAGTACAAGCAAAAGAACAGCGACAATCACCAACTTGACATTGATATTTAAGAATACCATGGGCCCTCAAAAAGTTCTTGTTTTTCTTTCTTTTTACGTGTTTATTTTTAATTTTTGTGTTGCATTTTTGAAATATTTCATCGTATTTGTATCTTTTGATGATATTTTCAACTGGTTTATTGTCAACCATTTGAATTTCAACTTAACCCAATGAACAGTTTGACCAAAATGGTCCAATAGCTTGAGCTTTATCATCTATTATTTCTTCCATGATTAATATTGTTTAATTATCGAGTTTATATATTTACATTTCGAATATTTTGTATGTTGAAATTGTTTTCGAAAACAAATAAATACTTTAAAATTGATTTGTTAAGATTTTGATTTCAATATATATATAACAATAATAAAAATAAATAAATAAATTATTAACATTAGTTTTTATCATTGTTTGAAAATGTCATTTTACAACACAATTAAATAATAATGTTTGAGAAACCGCTGTTTTAAAAACAAGTAGTTTCAAAACACGGTGTTTGAAAACGAAACAGGTATTATTTATTTTATAACAATTTCAAAAACTGAAATTGTTTCACAAACTTTTTTATTCGTGTTTTAAAACATACTAAAATTGTTTGTTTCAGAAATAAACTAAGTTAAAACACAATTTTGAAAACAAGAAATATTTCACAAACATTTGAAAATTTCTCAGTTTTGAAAACTGTTTCGACATCCCTAATACCCACCACTACACTTTCGACAGATATCAACATCAATCGTACAACTCTCACAATTTGGGTCTTGACAAAAAGAACACTCTTTCCCAGTTGCATTATATTTACCATTAGGAATTCAATGCTACAATTATTGCAAGTCAAATCCCAATTGTTAATGTGACAGTATTTACATGCCTGTTTGAATTGTTGTTGAATTAAAAACGAGGAATTTGATATGAAAAGTTCTTCTTTTGTCATTTACTTCTTTTCAAAAGAAACTGTATTTTCGTTGTTGGAATACATGACTACACGGTCTGTTTTTGCAAACGAAAATAAGTTGTTTCTTCCCAATATTACAACTTCATTGAAAATGTTTTTTATCTCACCAGCCTTTTTGGTTTGCAATTCATCACTTTCAATGTCAAATTTGAAAGATGTGAAAGAACTTAGTGGAGTTATATAGCAGTCAGCACCACTACATGGGCAATATAGTTCTATGAATTCAACATCTCCCGAACTCGACATTCCCAAATGGCAAAATATCTTTGTGGAATCACCAAATCTTGCCAATCGATTGTTTTGTAACATTTTGACATATTTATAAGTTGTTATACATGTTATTACTTGATTGGCATTTGCAAAAGCAAAATCAAATTGAG